CACTGACAGGGCCGTTGCAATATGCGTTTTTGCTGCCTGTTGCAGCGCTCTAGCGCTGCACAGCAAGAACGCATAACCAAGACTGCATTTTTGCTCCCGTAAGATTTGTATACAGCAGTATACTGTGATCTCAGAAGGAGGACCAGGAAATTAGGGACAGGACGAAGAGAGTGGTCTTTTCCTTATTATTGGAGACTGTTATCTGCATGTAAAACTGCGTAATTTCTTTCTGGAAAGCGTAGAATCAGCTGGATGTGCAAGCAGAGGAACATAATTTCATGCTGAATTGGCTCAAAACTTTGCTGTTTACAAAAATAAAATGATTGAATGATTGAATTTGGCCGCATAATATGTAACTGTGTTTTCTGTCGGCTAAGGAATTGTGCACGTGAGTATTCAAGTATGAGGATCGGCAGAGTATCGTTGTTTAAAAAAGGGAAACACTAACGTTCACCTTGAGCTATGAATGATTTCAGTACTTTCTGGAATCAACTGGGGTTGTTTTCCAAAAAATTTCCATTATTTTTACTGGAACGCAGGAGAGGAGGGCATTACTATGAATTTTTACGAAGCGTATACTATCGTGCGATTAAATTATTGAAATGATTCGCCTTATTTAGGCAGTGCAAAAAGCAAAACTTGCCGAAAATGATGCTGAGAAAGCAAATAAAACGCTAAGCGAAGCTCAAGATAGTCTCAAAAGGATAATCGATCAGCTAAGTAAGTTAAAGTCAATATTTTGCGTTGGACTGTGAAAACAGAAGAGTGAGCAGGGGTTTTACTACCAAACTTTCGTCGTATTATTGCGCATGCGCGCCATTTATGCTATCGGCTGCCTCTCCATGTGTGCTGTGGCCGAAGCTTCATATCTGGTGGTCGGCCGTCGGATAATCAAGACGTCCGTTTCCGTGTTTTCTTCTACAGCATCTATGAAGAGAAATTTGGGATGTATCTTTTTTTAAAAGAGAAATGTTATATGTGTCGCTGTCCTTCAGCCTTAGTGTGACCTTGTAAAGGGAAAATATTGTGTTTTAGATTCATTGGACGACGTGAATAATGAAGAACTAGATGAACTGGAAAAGCAGCTTGATAAGGCGGAAGAACTATTGGAAACTGCTGATTTGGACAAGCAGGTTGGGCATTCTTTTCCTCCAGTCTGGTATATTTTCTTGTGTCCTTTGCTAAAAATTTTTCCATTCGTTGTGTTGAGAATCCTGAAAAGTCCCTAAATTTCCAAAATCTAAAGTTTTCGAATTAAGAATGCGAATTACTCGTTGAGTTTCCCCGATTTCTTTAGCCAAATTTGGGCTTTCTTTTATTTCTTCCATCTCCATTTACACACGAGTCACTCAGCTGGGAAACATTCTGGATCAGAAACAGTGAGTCTGGATACCATTTATATCGATGGATATCTTACAGAATAGTAAGCGTTTCATTCCTCACTCAGTAAAATACAGAATAATTCACCAACGCATGGGCTGCCCGTGCAAAGACGCGTTTTTTGCATAGCACCGCGCAGATTTTTGTCGCAAACGGCACTGGTTTTTCCGGCAGATGCTTCTAGCTAAAAGAATTTCAGACTG